TTCAACACATTCAACCATTCAACACATTCAACCACATTATACTATGTGATCGTGCACATAACCTTATCACGCGAGGTGGGATTTTAAAAGAGGTGCTGAGGGTGGACAATAAAGCAATCACTACAGCACCAAATCTGATTACTTGTCACACTCCAATTTTGGAAAAGCACAACGGTCCACAAAAATATTTTTATTACATATTTTTCTAATATTCATTGATGTCCAGATATCTGGAATACTGCCGGGACGAGTCAAAGATTCGTAGCCAGGATTTCTTCACAACGCTGGGTTACATCGCAGACAATCCTGTGGGTAACTCCCTCGTCTGGGACTGGGTACGAGCCAACTATGACTACCTTCTGGAAAGGTAAAAGTCAGTGAATACCTACCAGAAATGGAACAGCCAAGACCCAAAAAATTCATCTCTCATAACCCCTCGCCTCAAATCTTTCATCGAGGCAAATTGTGCCACTGAAAATGGGGCCAGTGGAACAAAACAACCCTTATTCTTGCTGGCTTGACAGAAAACCGCGATCTTTAACTTGTTACAGTTTTGAGCAAATCAGCAAGCTTGTCTTTATTTTTACCAAGATAAATATATTTCATCCCCCAAGTTTGATATGTAATGTTATACAGTATTTCGGGGTTGATGTGTTTGAATCAGTCTAATTATATTCAAAATGTTAAATGCAACATCTGGAGAAACCCCGATAGAAGTTTTGGTGGCTTTTGGTTTTGTGTATAAAATGTTGAATTTTAGTCAATACATGTTGATCATCGAGCGCAACAGAAAAACCACTGGACCACTGTGCTGAAAGCATAGCAGATCATTACTCCCCTTGCACATTGCACGGCTTTCCAGACACCATGTGTTACCAAGAGCTCAGACTCAAGAGGTTAGATCTGATCCGCTGCAGCTTGTTTAGAGCAAAGATTTTATAGCGTAGCATAGCGGCGCAAGATGGAGAAAAAGGTATTATCCCCATGGGTGCCGCTCCAGTGCGAACGTTAATTTATAGGCGCAGACGTCCAGGTGTGCGTGCCTGTCTTGGTGTTGCTGCACCTGTTTCGTTAACATAGTGTATTCACACCCAAATGGTGCCCATGCGATAAAAATGTTTTACACTTGCTCACGGTGAAGTTATCCATATTGCGCTGCTGCGCGGCACTAGACAATCTTTGGTTTAGAGGGGAATTGTACCCCATTTTTTCTTCATTTTTCTCCCTGAGTGTCTGGGATTTCTCTGGCTCCCCTCTGCAGATTTGGAGCAAGTGACCGGTACCTTGGCCGCCTGGTCCCTGGCTTTGTTGACTACTGGAATACCGAGCAGAAACTCAAGGAGGTGAGTTCATGTCTCAAAGTCATCCAAGTTCCGATGAGTCTGTTCTTGTTACCTCAAACAGCGGTCCAGCCCCTGACGCTGCAGGAATTAGATAAAATATATCTTGAATCTTGAATCATGGTTCCAACAGTCCTCAACTGACGGTAGACTGTCAAGCCATTACAAAGTTACTTGGCTATGGCTACTTGGAGGCACTTTATCTGTGCCATAGAGCTTGTGGTTAGGTGCTGCACAGCAGTGGGTCTAGCACCTTCATTTCAAGGACTGCCGTACAGTATTAAAGACTCCGCACCGTAGGAATTTTGTGATGATCCAAAACACTTTACAGAAAACGTTTCTCTGGTTAGATGCTCACGGAAATAAAGTAAATATTGCATTCTTTCTCTTTTGAATTTTTTAGCTGCATCTGACTATTGCTTCCCAAACATGCACTGTTTTATTTAATTAATTGTGTATTCAACAGAGTCATTTTTTTTTTTGTTCTTAGCTGGAGGACTTTTGGGCCGAGTACCCTGATGCAGGTGCCGGGGCGAGAGGCAGACTGCAAGCCATAGAACGTATCAAGACCAACATCAAGTGGATGGAAAAGAACGAGGCCACCATTGCCCAATGGCTGAACGACAATTTGTAATCAGCCCCACCAAGAAACCACATCCTATTCATACACAAAGTTCAACTGATCCATTAATACTCTAGTTTTATCAAAACATCCAGGAAGTACCGAACTTCAACTCAGCAAAGTATTTATAATAAAAGGTTTTGTCTGGTATCAACCCCCCTCCATGCAAAACCAGGCGTTGGATTTTGGCCAACCCGAATTAGTTTTCTAAAGGATAACATGTTTATGTGTTGCTTTCAAGAGTCCACTTTGGTCAGTTTGACTTGAGAACATGATTGGTGCATTTGAGATTTTTTTAGAGTTTAGTTTGGTTACTAGAATTTGTTGATGTTTTTCCTGACCACTGATTGTGCTGTGAATCTGGGGTCACATCACAGCAACAGTTGCTGTGATGTTATTTCAGGGAGACACTTTGGTTCAAATGGTGGACCCCAGATTTGCTCACTGAAACTATTTGTGTCAAACCATTACTGCTTGACTTCCTCTAACAAACTGAAACAATAAGGCATCACCGAAGTAAATAAATATTGATCCATGATGAAATACCCAGAATTCAACAACATTTAGTGCAAAAGTAGCTGTAACATTGAGGTTAGTGCCATAAAATTTTTACTCATTAATATGCATATTTGTATTAACAAAAATATTCAAAATGACCAAAATACCAGTGACTAACATGTACCCAGCGAGGTAAGCATTCCCATGGTTCTTTGCCCAGCATTTTCTTCTTTTTTAATTCAAACGCTGTTTTATTGTCACGCACATAAATAAATCCATGGTTACAGTATACCACCAAGCTTTGTTAGAGATTAGCATTGTATAACTCATTGTATAGTCTCATTAGATGGACTGATATGCTTCTAATTCTTCCAAATTACTCAGTACTATGTTATAAACAGATTATGTTAAACAGCTATTAAACATAATCGAAAGATAATTAGAAACAAATTGCCAAATAAGGTCTTTGTTAAACTTTGTTTAAAAGGAGGAGCAAAAGCTTTCTGTAGGTACAGATCTGTGATTTTACCCCAAAATGTTATGAATGCACAAAATGATTGCAGTGAATAAAAATTAATGCATTTTTTTCAATCATTTTTAGATTTTGTAACATCCAGTGTGCACATTATTACCTATTACAAATTATTTTGTGTATAGCTTTATTATATCAAGTCATTGGCATAATTCAGATTATTTCATTTGAATAAAATAATATTTTTGAGGAATAAATGCAGTATGGATCGAGTCACATTAGTTGAAGTAGTGTCAACTTGGATACATGTATTCAATTTTAAAACGCAAAGATGGCTGTGGAATTTTTATATTGTTTAATTCAAAGCTGAAGAGATTAATGCTTGGAATTTTTATTTCTTTTGTATCATCTTAAAATGTCCGTATAATCTAAAAACAAAAGGACTTTCTGAATGAATCATTTCTTAAAATAACAGGGTATGTTCAATTTACAAGGGGTTAATCTTGGATATTTTCAAACTGAAATTTTCATAGAAATAGACGGGTCATTTTCTTGGACTTTTTAGCATTAAAGGGTTAACCTTTCATTTTCACATGAAAAAATTTCCTTGAGTTTTCAAGGATCAATTTTGGAGTTATCTTTGACTAAACAGGTTACACCTTGGCCTTTGATGTTAATTTAGCTTGTCATTACAAGGAGTTAATCTCAAACTTTGTGAATTCGATTTCAAATGTTCTCCAAGTGGAAACAGTCGACAGTTTTAGTAATGTTGCAAGGGATTAATCCAACATGTTTTTCTTAAACTTGCAAGGGGCGAGCCTTGCACTTTGAATTTAAGTTTACCATTTGTTTCAACTGAGGCCTAAATTACAAGTGATTTATCTCCAAATTTTGGAAATAATTTTCCAAGATAAGATTACAAGGGGAATTTTAGGATTCAATGTTTCTTCAATTTTATTAAAATTATTTCAATTAAAAACCCTGGGGTTTTTTGTATTTTGAGATTTTTCTGATTTTAATGGTCTAACAGTGACAAGTTTTCCCCAAGATTTTAATTCATGCGTCTTCAAAATTACAATTTGTAAGTTTCATAAGGCATACATCTTCCATATCAGTCTTTCAAAAGCATTTACTTTTCTTACTCTTTACTAATAGGTCATTTGGGAGACATTTTGTGGTAAATTTTTCAGCATTAGGGAGGCATTGGCTTTTAGGGAGACATTTCAGTGTCTTTTTATTTTCAAACTACTAGGAGGCCGAATTTTATTGTCCATATTTTGAGAGATGATAGTTAAGGGCCTACAATGAAAACACACAAAGTTTGGATCAGATTAGGGAATATTGAATTATGGGACAGTAAAGTTGGAAAAATTTTGTGCACGTTCTTATGGGAATGTGGCCATACTGACCCATTAGCGGTAATAATAAAATTACTTGACACTGACCTTATAATTTTCATGCACTTTTCTTATAATGGAAAGGGGTCTTGAACTTCTGGAATGATTTTTGTTTGCATTACAGGCAGTAACCTCAGACCCTTTGAACAGAATCTTCAAATTAACAGGTCAACTTTGTTCTTATGAATGAAAATCTTAAATTTTACAAGGGAGTTATCCTTGGACTTTGAATTTAATTTTACATCAAACTGCAAGGGTTAAACTTGGACCTTTGAATTCATTTCCTTTTAAATTACAAGGCATACAAGTCAACTTCAACAAATCACCACACACAGAACCTGGACTGAGTCAACGTGGAATTTTTTATTTTGATTGCTACAATCTCAACAAGGACAGAGAACATGGCACAAATGATGCATAATATTGGACACGTAATCAAACCCAGAGTTTTATTGGACCTACCAGCTACCATGATTAATGACATGTTCATATGGACCCTGACTGTTTCAAGAGACTGCAGAACATTTGTATTCATTCTTTTAATTTCGCTTGACTCGTCAAAAGAGCGAATGCGCTACATCTACAATGCCAGTTTATTGACTACAGTAACAAGACTATTGTCCTTACAGCGTACACTATTTTTGTTTTTTACAGTTCCCCTTACAATCTTTACAAGAATTTCAATAATCTATTTCAAGTCCCCGATTTATTTAAGCTTCACTTCCGTACATTTAATAACTGTTTACAATAGAAGCCAATGTCCTTTCGAGGGCATATCCAAAAAGCTTTTAAAATGTTCTTTTCCAATGGTTTCACTCTGGAGCTAAGGGTAAGAGCACTACAATACCTATCTCCTACACTTGCTGTTCAGTTTCTGGAAAATCTACCCCGTCCCCTTTATAGTTGACATAATGGGCATTACAAGTACACACTACAGTTTACTTTATCTTTGAAATGCTTTAGCCAATCATAAGAATCTTCTGCTTCAGGTAAAAAGAAAGGACACAATTTTCTCACAAGTACTGCCTCGATACGCGGAAATATACTTTCATAGTCGATATATTTTTGTAACAATTGCTATCACTTTTTAAACTTGATAAGAGTAACTACTATTTTGACATGCTTTTAAACGTTTTGCTAGAAGATTTATGCATCAGAGAAACAAGTTTGGAATTTTTTTTTTCTTTTTTCAAGTTGACAGAAAAAAACAAAACAGAGAACCCAAAAATGATCCGCTACTGGAACACAGATGTATTTTCAAGCTGCTCGCCAGTGAAGCATCACGGCTGAACATATTGCATCTAGCACAATAACTGCATATAGGCATAATGCTATGAAGACGGTGTGGCACGCACAACACAATCCTAGTGCTACAAGTGTTATTTTAATTTTTTTTGCACAAACACTCCTGAATGTACACCTACACAAGCCACCCTCTATCACTACTAACCCTGATCATGAGAACTCCTTTTACACCAATTAATTTTACACCATTTGTTTTTTTCCTCAACAAGATCAATTACCTTCAAGGGGCTTCTTTTTTTTTTTACTAACTTGGCACAAACAAAATCTGCAAGCATTACACTGTGTTTGGTACGACCCATTCAGTAAAACTTCAACAGTATCAACCAAAGAACCGCAAAAATTTATAGAAAATCAAACGACCAACTACATGGTTGAACTTAAAACGGAAAATAAAAGAAATTTACAAGAATTTGTGTTTCAGAACGAGCGCATCAGAAACATTTTTTTAACGTCTCTTTTAATTCATCAAATTCCACGAACTCAGCACTCAGAAGGAAATGTATTCATACGACTGCAACTAAATATCTACAACTTGTATCCCTATCGAAAAAAGTACAATTTATTATCGCGAAATATCTACTTAAAGACCATCAAAATGATACAGGGGAAACCACATCCAAACTGAATGGAACATTCCAAGTCATTCAAATAATGAACAAAAATTAAACCGCAAGAAAGTGTTCTACTCTGACATGAAATTGTCCTATCCTTCGACTCTATCAGGTAAACGAACTTTGTTAAATTCTTTTTATTTAGAAAACATTCTTACCCCCGGGATTAAGACATCAACATTTTCAGCATACAAAAAAGTACAAATCATGCCTTGAAAATGGGGTAAGTCGGTAAAACACTGGCAGTCCTTTCCAACATTTTCACAAAGATCACGTCCAGTTGAACTCGATTTTCAAACCATTTGTAATCAAAGCAGACACAGAATTAAGGACAAGCTGGACTTGCCCAAAACTTGCATTATGATCATAATATCATTATAACTGTGAACGATGGCTATAGGTTGCAAGGACAATGACAGAGAGACAAAGACGACTGATTACCATATCAATTTAACAATACAATAAACAGTAGCATAACCTTACAAGCGTTACCAAGACTTAATCACAACATAGTTCAAATGAAGGCTGCAGTGAGCCAGTCTCCACAATCCAAAATTTCGGTTAACATCCAAGTTTGTTTTGTTTTTTAACATGAAATTTTTGTACAAGTTTTACAGTATTACTGAAGCGAGTTGATGACAACGCTGCTCAACTGGCAAATCACAAACACATATTGACCATCTTCAGTCTCTTCGTATTTCATCAGTCTTTAACAATTCAATTTCTTTTTTGCTTTGCTGCAGGTGCGTAAACTACATGTTGTACACCAGCAAATGCGCTGACATAACGGCTGTTGCTACACTGTTTGCAGTGCTTGACAGATGTTTAATATTTGACACAAATCTACGTCCAACAAAACTGCCTCGAAATCCCAAGAAGTAACAGTGAAATAAAGAAAGAAAACAGAGAGACGACATCGACTGTCTCTTCTATCAATCCGTAGCGATATATCCTCAGAATCTAAACCCATACCACAAAATTTAAAAAAGAAGGGAAGCTAGAAGAAACGCTTAAAGGTTAACAAGAGAGACACTCTTTTTCAATTTACAGTCCATCTTTTTGTCAGTAAATAAAGTCCCAATTATTTTAATCAACTGAAGTGGGCCATCTGGTTTCCGCCAGGTTGTTGCATGGTATTGGAAAATGCTATTTTTGGCGGACGAGATATATTTTGTCTTTGTCTTTTAGATTTCCGACTCCTCTGGATCCTCCTTGACCTCTGTGACCTCGGCCGCTGCTTTGGCGTCCTCAGACAGGAATTGGTCCACCATCCGCTGCAGGTCCTCTCTCAGCTCGCTACGCTCTACTTCCTCTCCATCCTCCTGGATGTTGGTCTCCACGTCCTCCGTCACATCCACCTCCTCGCCGTCGCGGATGACCGTCTTGCGGCTGGTCTTCTTGTGGACTGTGATCCTGGATTGTAAGAAAAGGGGGATACAGAAGGGCATCAGGATGGAGAGAAAGATGGATCCGAATGAAACATATGTCACCTGGCCAGAGGCGGCAGGCAAAGTTGTTCCAAGTGTCAAGACAACTTTTGCTCTTCCATGAGTATTCTTCACAGCTGGTCCACGGTAATGCTTGCACATGCGCATTAACAGGAGTAACCGCGCGGATGCACCCTATGAGTCTTAACCACTCCCTGCCGGGCGACCCGTTTTCCAGTACAGAGGCTTTATATGCAGAGCCGGGGAGCCTGGAACTGGGACAAAAGAGTTGGGCCTTATAACAAAAGACCGTGCTCAGCACAAAAGACTGAGCTGCTGGGCATTACTGACATTTTTTGCGGGACAAAAGCTCTCTACCACCGCAGCGATGAGCCACACAGCACCGCTGCATACTAATCTGGCCCATATTGAAAAAAGGTCAGAAGTGCACTGTGCCGGTTTCGGGAACAAAAGAATCTTACGTAACGCCGCATAATCTGGGTTCTTTTTCCAAGGCTGCAGGCCTGGCTGAAATATTCAAAAGTCAATAAAGGTTAACTGTCAGCTTTAGAGTAGTGCCCAAAGAGTCCTTCATGTAGGTATAATCGGCCATTAAATGAAATGAGGAATTTTTGAAGAATTTTGAAAATGGAAAATCTTGAAAAGGACCCGGCATCTTGTCTTGCTTAAGAAAAATCCACCCGGCAGCAAGTGGTTAATACAGTTCAGCAAAGCCTGTGCATTCATAGCTACAGCATCTTAACCCTAACCCCTAGCAAGTCTGTAAAATCATGATGAATCGGAAGATTTGGGACTGTTAGCGCAATTATATAACTGTAGCTACGAAAGATAGTGCCCCTCTTTAACTTCAGTCCGTCCAGGTGCTATCGCAGCAGTATATGATTCTGGCATTTACCTCTTAAGGAAATCAAAGCCCACTACTAACCTGTGGACACCGTCCTCATCGGGCTCCCCTTGCGGCATGACAAAGTTGGGGTCGTTGGGGTCCACCTCCACTGTCTGCATCACCCGGCGGATGATCCTCTTCCGTGTCACCTTCCGGATGGTGCCGTCCGGCAGCTCCTCCTCGAACTCCTCCACGATCTCTTGCACGTCCTCGTTGGGATCTGAAACCACAGGCTTGGCCACGGCCGAGTCACTGGGCAGCTGCTCTTGCTCTGGCTGCTCGCTGTACTGGACTGGCTGGTCTCCTATTTGCGGAGGGATTGGGGGGGGGGAAGATCGTCATGAGTTTCTTCAGCTCAAAGACAATATTGGACAGTTTATAAGGCTACATGCTCCCATTGCATTTTACAGCTAGCACCTACGAGATGGATCCTACTCAACTCAACTTTTCGTAAGATGTTTATTTTAAATCTCTCAAAATGACTCGAAGTAAATACATCTACATTTTATTTTTCATCAAAAAATTTGCGATCTTTTGAGTAAAACAGCAAGAGGTTATACCAACAATCTTCATATCTTGGGGCTTCTCAGTGACAGAGAAAGGTGGCAGGGGTCACATGATCAAGTATTCCCCTGGGCCCCAGCACACTGCAAATGGGCAACAGAGCCAGTGCATATTGGACCAAGGCATTGCTCAGCTTCAACAAATGTCTTTGTCAAATGAAGAACATGGCAACACGCAAGACGCAGTGGTTAGTTTTGGGCCAAACGAACTTCTAACAACATACGACCAAATAACAAACAAAATGGAGAAATGTTAGGATACGCATTTATGAAGACCCGTACACCAACACTGGCTTATGTGGGGATGCTTGCTAGAAGAACAGTGTGAATGGTTGACAACAAATCAACAACGAGTCATTCTATTAACCCCTTCGCGCCGGTAATTCCTTTGACCGTGACTGCAGGGCTGTGGTATGCCCTGAATGGAGGGCTTTGTCCATCAGCAGGCCCCATTGAACCAGCAGCTGCATGGTGAATAGACTGTATGCGTGGTATGCACTAATCCTCACACAAAGCCACGGCTGTCGATGGTTCCCAGTGCGAAGGGGTTGAAGTTATGTAACAGACAAGACTACCTACAATGACATGTACCGAGTAATGAGTGTTATGAGAGGGTTCAGTAATATTTGTATCGTAGTCCTAAATGCAGTGCTACAAATGAAGTGATCTGTCATGGAAATCCACTGACTGTCCATCTGAAAACAAAAACAGATGAAAAGAGTACGAAGCAACAGAATGCAGGAGTAATTGAGAGAGGACGGAACCGGTGAGTGAAACAGCAACGATAATCAAATATCAAATCTGGATTCTTCAGCCTACAAACTGTTTTGACCCTATTTGCAGGTAGCACAACATCGGACTGACACTGTATTCGGAGGCGAGCCAAAAGTCCGAACTCGCCAACCGAGAGAACTGAAAAAGAAAAGGACAAATTTGCTTGGGGTCCACAAAAGAGACAAAATAGACGGTTTGAAACAGAAAAACACAGGGTTAGTTCAACTGGACATAAACTACTCAGTGTCAACATCTGGGAATCCTACAATTTACTATCTGGCGGTAAAACACAACACTTGGCCAGGGTTTTTCGCAGGCAGGACTGAGGTTAGTACACAGAAACTGTTGAGGAAAAGGAACACCATCATGCATGTGCTTCATCTGCTGTATTGTGAGCAGAAGGTTAGTCATTTTTTAATGAAATCCACTCCTCTTACAATGAGAGTCTAATCACAAGGCACGACTTCTTGTGCATCGCTTTAAGTTAGCAGTTTTTCATACACTCTTGAACATCGCCAAGTTACTATCGAAGCAGACATGGTGTGACGATGGCAGTGTTGTGTGCATGATTTCAAATGACATGAAGCAACTTTGAAATGCAACTGTTTGGACTCTCATTTAGCGGGAGCGGTGGACGAGTGAGATTTCCGCGATCAGTGCAGTGAGACGGACGGTAGGACTTGCACTATTCTCCTCACCGTTTGCCTCGCCCGGTTCCTGGACTTCGGGAGGGAACTCAACTGTAGGCTCTGTGGATATCTTTGGTAGGTTCTCTGTTACCGACGACAACATATAGAGAGTAGGGGTCAGTTAGTACAATGGAGGGCAGATCAAAGTTATCACAAACGTTGGGTTGAAAGGCATTAAAACACATACATGTACAAGTATTATGATAGGTCAGCAGTTGTAACACATGTTAGCTGTTTTCAAATGTCCGTGCATTTGACGGGTTAACAATGCTTACAAGGATTTCACCTTGCAGATGACCATTATTAACTTCGTTAGCATATTTTTATCTTTGCTTCATGACATTAAACATCAGCAAGCCTCCAGTCAACATTTTTAAGCTAACTCATCACTTGAAACTTTGAAGGATTTCCATGCAAAGCTACGCGGCATCACCATCTTCGTTGGATAATGGGTTTTCTACGCCTATGCTCCATATCTCCCGATGCTTGGGTCGACAACATGTTGCCAGATATTAGCCGCCCGCAGGTTCACTTGAGAGTTTGGGGGAGTTTAGATTTACAGCTCGGCTGGGTGGAGATGCTCATTACAAATGCACCATGCAAAGATCCTGACGACTACCAGAGCACACCGCGCAATAACGTTTGTTCTCATCAGCACCACCTCTGTGCATCTTGTGGTAAATATTTCTAAAGTGCATTCACAAAACTTGACACTTTATGTTTGCAGTAATGCAGCACATGTCTTCGACACTGTGTAATTCCAGAAATTAGGGGTGCAAAAGTGTGACATTTTGGTGTCCCTTTTACATCTGACTTTTGTTATTTGATAAGGAAATATCACTGAATTGATTTCAAACTATTACTATTTGTTCGGTTGGTCATTTGCATTTATTCTTCACTCTTGAAAATTAGAAAAATGTGTTCCGAACTTACAAAATCATATGTCTATGTGACTGGGACACGAGGAAAAAATGGACCCTTAATTTCTGGAATTACCCTACTATGAAATTAAAGAAAACTTGGACTGACATGAAAGAAGCAACTTTTATAAAACTCAAATGCTTAAAACTGTCCAAGTATTACTAAGTATTAATGTTTAGAGGCAGGAATTTACATAAACCTCACAGGGAAAAGAAATCAATTTGAAAATATTTTGGTGTCAAGATAAACAGATATAAAGCAATGGAAATGCAATTCAGACTGTGTTAGAATTTTGGCAGAGTTAGCAATTTTCAAGCAGCAACTTGAAGCCCAAACAAACAAAGAAAAAACCTTCAGCCAGTCATGACAGCTGACCACATCTATGCATAATTTCTGCATTTTTGTCATTCCAGAGTGATTAATAAACCTCCACAGTTTCAAGTTCCCCCCCCCCTTTACCTTTCAGAGAAAATGGGCATTCGTCCATGTCAGTTATATCAGGAGTTTTGGGCTCTGGAGGGCCTGCTGTCAGACAGAAGTAGACAAGTCCAAATTCAGAGAGACTTTCTCTTTCTGCCTTTTTCATACCCAAAAACACCAAATGGAGACGGTGATGAATTGATTTTTTTTTTCAGTTTGGATTTCATAATATGTCTACTTAGGAATAAAGCAGGATAGCTCAGATGGAAATGAGACGGTTGTCTTTGGTGAGATTATGATGATCTTCAATGGACATGGTTTGAGCCTGATATAGAATTGATGGGTTAAATGCATTTATAATGAGACCTTACAGAATTGAGATGATAAGCACGCAAGCGTGGCAATAAAAGTCAGAAGAAAAACATAATTACCCAGGAAAGTTTTTGAATGTCTTTAACCCCTTTGCGACGGATGACGGTAAAAGCCGCCGTAAAAATTGAGATCCTCAGCCCGCTTTTCAGCTATTATTCTCGGCCCACGCTCGAGCGAACACGGTGAAAGAAGACAGACCCTGGCTCTTGTATATATGGTGATTGGCCTTTGTGTGTAGCCCAGAAATGAAAAGACTGAATTTGCATCATGATCTCCAGCTTCACAATAGTCCCCACTTTGAAAAGAGGCAACGGGAATGTGGAAGCGCGAGTAGAGCCACATGCCACCGAACAATTCCTTTTAACTTTGTAATTCAAAGCGTGCAGAGCACGCAGGGCCACAAACCGAGAATTTGCGGTTTGGCAGGTGGCCTTCGTGGCCAAGCGAGGCTGGAATTCTTGGAGTCGGCTTTCGGAAAAAAATTCCCGTCGTCAAGGGGTTAAAGGACCATGGCACTTGTACAAAATTAGGATTCTCAAAGCAAATAAACATACATAGTAATGAATGGTGGCTTACTTAAACGAGGATATCTAGCCCGTTGATAGCAAAAATGGGGAAATTAAACTCGAGATTTTCAACAAAAAAGTGGGAATCCACTAAAAAGCAGATATTTCACACCCCTGGACAAAATTTCATCAAAAAAAGATCTTTGCCTGCTTTGTGTGCTGCAATTCAGAACTCTCCAACAAGAGAGAAATTCACTTAGCTTGGGGCTCAAAGCTTGGCGGTTATACTAAATATGACCTTTGGTTAGGTCACAACCATGACTGTCATATTCTCCTTCACCTTGTCTGTCCTCTGAGGTACTGCTCAGGGGGCTCTCGGAGAACTGACGCTCCTCAGGCGATGAGTCACCTTCATACCGGTCCGAGTCTGGGGCTAACTCCACGACTGGGGCCGACGATTCGACCACGGGGGCAGCCTCTGCCATTGTTGTAAACTCTACAAAATTTTACAGTGAAGTCATTTGCTTCATCCATTTTACCTTTGTCACACTGGCAAATGCGCTTTTAAACTTATTCACCTTTGGGGCAACGTAAGGAATCTAACTGACACACGGAAACCACTGTTGAGTACAGAAAAACCTCTCGATAAAAAGGGAGAGAGGTACAGGGTAGGAGCAAGCAAACAAAAAATTGGGAAGAGAACCAGGATAATTCACCTTTCTTGAAGGAATTAGCTTCAAAGAATAACAGCCATTACGGTGCATGTGCATTTATGCCTAGACAATTCCTGTCAACATCGAATGTAACTTGTGACTTTGGGAAAGCGTTAAAATGAAGTATTGAAATTAAACTGGGTACTCAAATGAATCGTGCATTCATCTGACTGGACACTCTGCGGCCAAGGGAAAGATGTCTATCGGTTACTGTACACTGATTTTAATCAACAATTTAAGTTGAAAGATGCCCCTTGGAAGCCAGGCAAAACCAACTTCTATGAGCTACTCCATGGGGGAATCTTCACAGAAGAAATTCAATTCAGCATTTAGCAAACAGTCGACTGGTACTGCTTGAGAAACTCCTTGAGATCGGGCGTGGCTCAAAAAGTTCACGGAATCCATTTTCTTCAAGTACGATCAATCTTGCAACGAGAGGAATAAAAATCTTGGTCCTTTTTAAAAAATTTACCTAATGTGGCATTCTCAGGCAATTCCTGTGTCCGATCCCACAACTCCTGAATCTCCTTCTCATCATCTGAGGTCAGGAAGCTGGGCCCCACCTCCTCGGGGCGTCTCCGGGGTGGGGCCGATTCTTCTGTGCTCACATCCTGTCCCTCGATAGGTTCTTCCTCCCCGACATCTCCCTCAGCTTGCTCGTAGGTTTTGGGCGCTTCTTCATCTTCAAATGCTTGACAAGAAACATGCAAAAATTCTCAGTACAAAATTTTGAGTTTTTTTTTTTCTTTTTAGCCGAATGTAATGTCTGGACACCGAGAATATACCCAACAAAGGGCAGTGTTATTCTGGGTGAAAAACATGACTCAATCTCACAAACTGAGTCTTAAGGCCATTTTTTGGCTTATTCCCTTCCAGTTTGCATAAGAACCAGCAACCTGAGCTTTCTGTTTTGACGTATCGCTCAGTCTGGCATCCTGATGAGCAATGGACGTCATGTGGGTAAAAATAAAGTTGAGGGTTCCTGTTAATTTCCACTGCACAAGATTCTGTTCAATGCTTGTAAACATTTTCAAAAGGGGCTCTGGTGACTTGTGACTCGTATTGTGGGATTGGGTCATGTTTGAGGCTCTGCCACACAAGCGTACAAAACAAGATAGTTCTTTAGAGTAGGCCAGGGGACGAATTCATCCAGTAGGCAGAGCAGGCACTGTGCCCAGGGCCTACAAAAAAAAAGGAGCTTACGCTGAACCTCAGTGCCCACGAACAAACCAGTGTGCCACAAAACATGAAACTACTCAAGTGTAAGAAGCGTTACAATTTTAGCCTCACCCTTTGAATTGTTAATTTTGGCAAAAGCTTTCAAAGCTGCTGCGTAACCTTGTACCGGCTAGCATCAAAGTAAAGTGCAATTCCCAAGCCCTATGGCCAGGTCTACGAAATTGGCGAGAAAACATAAAGCAGAGTAGGGCCTGCGAAGTACTGATGCCTAGGACTTAACTTTGGTGATAGGACCTGTAGAAAACTGGTGCCTTGGACAGGCAGAGCACAAATAGGGCCTATGAGTAATTTGCTGCTAAGACCTGTGGAAAACTGGTGCCTAAGACCAACGGAACATTTATTCTGGCCTTGGTTTGAAGCTGTAAACTTACTAGGCATGGTGAATTCGTTGAGGGCTATGGCCAGCGCCTCAATGTCCTCTTGTGTGGCCCTGGGCTTGTCCTCTGGCACATCTGGTCTGTCAGCTGCATCAAACTGCTCATCAACTGGCGGCTGGAGGTAATGAATAATGCATAGAGAAACCAATTTGCATGCATTGTGATTTGTGCAAGAGAATGAGATGGGGGTGGGCGGGATTACACTAACTTTATGCAAAGTGGGTATGAATATTCATCAGTGTGAGGTTAAGTAATGGCATGACCTGTGGGTAGAAATAATTTAATGATGTTGATTAATATTCGTAAGAATATTGGAAATGAACTGATCTCATTCCTCAATGGATATGACAACATTCAATGGTTCTTGAAGGAAAAAAAAATCAGACGTTTATTGCACTTTCTGTTGCAAAAATAAAAGGTTTTTTAAGCAATTTGGGGGAAAGCTTAAAGAGAAAACAGAAATGGGCAAATTTGATTTGGGGGAAATATGGGTGAAAAATAATTTTCATATGGCAAGCAAATTAACATGAAAGAAAACAAGACACAAATGGACGTAACACACAGATAAAACGATTCACACATATGACACGAAACACAAGAGTTTTCCACGGTTTCACCACACAGCACCTGTCTTTGTGTCACACAGTCACATCACTGTTCACTGCTCCTCTTGTTCCCACCACATTTTCCCCCACACGGACAAAACACAAAAGTTGGGTCAAATGTTTGCCCATTAAAAATGGGATCCAAACATTCTACAAAAGACTGAAGGGCTGACCATTTCCATGACATCCACAATATGTGGTTATTGTGTGAAGTCAGGATTGGAATGTAGGCAGACTTTTGCAGTTCTTTTATTTGAAAAAGACATGTACGTTCAACCCTAAAAGATCCGTACATAATGACAAAAGAAAAAAAAACAAAACAATATTTTTCTTAAGATATTTTTTGATTAACATCTGAGTTTTTAAACAAGAAATTCATAACAATTCTTTTTTTAAAAAGAGGATTACATACATTATCTACATTATAATCTTATAATAAGACAAGCTTACAACTACGTGTACATACAAGACACACAAATACATAATGTTAGTGAAATGTTAACTGACTGATGCAAAGATGCAGCTTGATAAGTCAGGTAACTTTAGCCTGGCATTGCAGGTAAATAAATAAATATATATACGAGTATGCATTTTCCCCAAACAAGGTAAAAGAATGGGACTGGAGATATGACTTTGATATTAAGGAGGTTATTGTGGAAGAAGGAAGGGGGCGCTGTTCAAGGAAAAAGTCATGGGTAAGGGGGCAATATGGTGAATCGAACCATGTTGACAAGAGTAGTGATTGTTGCACAAACTTGAACACGGCGGCTGGGAGGGGACGGAATGATATGAAAGCAGGCTGAATACAAGACCGTATTTTATATCTATAAGCAGAGCATCTCATGATGAATGGGTAACGTTTCAATAATGGCACACTCGGTGAAACTCAGGGTCACTTCAATTCCTGTTAGGAATTATTGCATGGGAAATAAACTGCTAATCACTTTGCCTGAGAAATTCCGCCAGGCCAGCTGTGAGATCGGACAGCATATTTTCAAGCCAGCCGGGGAATAAAATGGCAGGTTAAAATGATTCTTTGTAGCGGCAGTTTTCCAGGTTGTGCCTTTCTGATGTGTCGCTGTGAGACAGGCTCAAGCAAAAGAGTGCAAATTCAAGACAAATGTAGAAAATAACAAAGGATGCTGCAGGCTTGTGAAATTTTGCAATGTAAAAAACATAACAATAAAGAACAGTCAAAATTTTGAAATGATATATTAAAAATGCAAAATGTCACCACAATCAAAAACAAATGACACCTAGGATGTTTTTTAAATACTCTTGTTGAAGAACAGAATCGTAAAACATGAAATCATATACAATCTTTCGGGTCAACTTAAAACCAGTCACTTGAATCAGTACATAGGATCAATGCTCAGTATGTCAACTCAATTAATTAAATAAGATGCACAGTAAAAAATGAATAACAAAACATACACAACTGAAATTAAAGTTTCAAACAGGCATAAGTAATTATTACAACTCAAATAAATGCAACCCATTCTCAAAGAAGTATTTAATAAAAACTTAAATGGTTCAAATTGGATATAAACCAAAGTTAAAAGCATTTTCATATCTCCCAGGATCAAACATCAACATAAAAATACAAAAAAATGCTGAACAAAGCTTCCTCATGCATATTCGAGATATGATGCTTTTGATATGAAAATCAGGATGAATGCACAATGCTCGGGGAAGGTGAGCAAGCAGACAGACATAAACGCATGCAACACGCCAGGTTTTCTCTTTCTTTTTTCTCTTGGGTTTGCGCTGCGGCTGGTTTTTTTGTCTTTTTGTTGGCATCCTTCAGTGATTGGTCGTCTTTTTAAGCGAGCAGTACCTCTGTGTGCAAGCTTGAAGACAGCTGGATCTCCAATTGGTCCTGTTCCTGAGAGAAACGTGAGAAAAGAGGGAAGGAGACAAATTAAGCTTAAATTCCGTCACAATTTGGGAGTTTGAGTCCTCGTTTACACCTCTCCCACTAACTGCATATAAATATGATTAAAACCACTTGCGCTATCATTTCAGCAGGCTCTGCAAATATTGGACAGAGGGGGCCCAAGTTTTTTAACATCTAAAACTCATGAGGGAGAGGTGTAATTAGGCTAAACCTTCCCATCTGCAATCAGCGAAGCCATTCCGTGGACAATCCTAGAGATCCTACTGGACTCACGATCCCCCTTAATTGATGCCTACCCACACCTGGACATGGAGGAAGCCAGTCACTCACTGTCACTCCAATGCAATAATAAACACACTTGTGATATGTCGAAAAATCAGACTTGCTCTGAAGTAGTGGTTGTGTTTCAACTTTTTGTAACATCAGAGGCCAATGCTGAATTCATTGATACCACAGAAAGGTTTCTGAAAGCATTTGAAAACCATAAGTCACATAGCATTTGACAAGATAACATATGACTGTAAGCAAGCACAATGTGGAGTGAGCAAAAATAAATAAAAAGCTTAGAAAATCAATGGAGGCAACGAAAGTAAAGGTTGTAATACATTGTGAAATGGCAAATGAAAGTCAACAATATGACAGCTTTGGCAAAATCACAAAAAAATATAGCACACATTTTAGAACGGAAAACCATTTATTAATAAAATTACACAATGCAGGTGAAACTGGCAAAGGCAAGCTTTTTTCAGGAAATGGGTGTGAAAAGTGTAAAGAATGAACTAACAAATTAATAAAAAAGGAATACTTTTCATATTTCAAGGGCTAAAAAGAAAATAATGAAACGGAAATGTACGGTGATAATGACTTAGTGAAACAAGGTTTTATTTCATGCTTCCATTAGCATGAATGACCATGAAAAGTGTGACAAGCTATGAGGTTCCTGATGCATTATGGGATGCAAAAAAGCATCATGGGTAAACAAAACTGAAGGCTGTGGGAGGGGGCAAGACAGCAGCATTTGTGTACTTCAGCCACAATAAATGAAGGTGCAGAGTACGTGAAGCATTTCAGGGGCGATGATGATGAAACACAGAGGCAGAATGACGACGACAGGCATGATGCAAAAGCACAGCACCCTACCTCGGGGGTGGATTCCACAAAGGCCTGAGAGCTGGCTACCACAACCCTCTCGTGGTGTACCTCGGCATAAACAGTGCGAGTCGTGACCTCAGAGGATTCAGTGAAGCCACTTACAGGTTCCTGCTCCATGGTATCTGGAGGTGCAATTTCTGCCTCTTCCTGGATAGGCTCTTCCTCCATTGGCTCCTCATTTAGAGGGCATTCTTCCAGCTCCTCCACCTCTCGCTCCTGAGATGTTTCATCTTGAAGCTCTTGCATGGCTTCTGTTTCACCCTCAACTTCTTCCTCCTCTGCAAACTCTTGCGCATCTGTATGCTTCTCTGCTTCCATTTCTTCCTCATCTTGAGGTTCTGGCATCTCAACTTCAGCATCTCCTTCAACCACATCCTTGTCCACATCACCTTCGTCTGAAGCAAGGGCCTCATCTCTGGCACTTTCTTCTTCATACATCCCCTCATCCTCTTCACAAGGTTTCTCCTCCAGATCATCCTCAATCTCAGAATCTTCTGAAGGTGCACGATCTTGCAATCGGGGCTCTTCAAAGCTAGCCACGGCAACGGATCCGACAACTCCGACTGCCACCGGTTTGGTGGGGCTGTCAACCTCGTCATCCTTTCCCTCGACCTCCTGTCCAGGAGGAGGGGCCAGCTTGTGTGGCGGTGGCTTGTGGGAATCTTCCTCATCCCCTGGGGATGGAAGTTGGCCCTCGGATTCTGTAACAGGTTCTGGTACTCCAGGGAGAGTTATGGAATCAGCTGTTTCAACAGCTGGCTCTCCGAGGATAAAAGCAGACTCTTCAGTTGTCACAATGGTCTGTGAGTAAAAAGACTCCTGAATAGTTGTTGCTTCTAAGAGACGGTCCTCTTGGATTTCTTCCTCAAGGCGAGCCTGAATATCACTGCTTTCCAACCTCTCACTTTCCTGAGCTAGGGCTTGTGCCTCATCTTCAGGGGATGGCAGAGGTGTAAGTGGCTGAAGGTCCTCCTTTGGCTCTTCTTCAATGGTTTGCTCCTCTTCTGGTTTTGGCTCCTGCTCTCGTGCTTGTTCATCCTCTTCTCTTTGTTCTTCTACTAGCTCTGGTGTTTCTTGCTGCTGCTGGTCAAGAGTCTCTGACTTGTCTTCCTGTTCTTCAAGGGGTTCTTGTATTCCTTCAGCTGCAGGTTGGACAAGCAGATTTGGATCGTAGTAAGCCTGCTCTGTTGGCCCATCAACCAACTGAACCTCTTCTTCCATGGCTTCATCTTCTCTTCGCTCTTGATCTTCAGTGACAGGTTCTTCTTGGAGCTCCTCTTTGAAGTCCTCTTGGTAGTCCTCTTCATAATGAGGAGCTGGCTCTGGAAGGGATTCAGGCGTGTCTGGCAGTTCTTGAATTTCTGGGGTCTGAAGGGTGTCATACTGCTCAGTCTGCTGCTGGAGATCAAGATCTTGTGGAACTTCTAAGATCTGCTCTTCTTGCTGGGTGTACACTGCTTCCTTCAATTCTCCATCAGACTCGATCGGCGAGTCTGGGATGGGGGTTATTTCTGGGGTTGGTGGTAAGACAGCTTCCTCTTCTAGCCCAGCCTGTTCTTCTCTCAGTGACAGATCTACTGGAGGAGCTACATATGTATGCTCGACAGTCTCAGTTTCTTTGATGATTTCATGCTCAATTCCAAGTTTCTCCACATCATCTCTGAAGGAGGGTTCTCCAGATGGTGTTTCCACCAAATACTTTTCCTCAATTTGGATGACCTCCAAGCTAGATCTGCGGTCTTCTGTTTCAATCTCTGGACTGTGTCTGCCATCTTCTTTGTCACTGTCATCACCTCTTGGTGTCTTCTCTGGGGTGTAAGCTGGAGATTCTATGATTGCTACATGCTCTTCTCGTAGATGTGTGTAACTCTGACTTGAGTAGGTTTCAGTGATATCGAGTATCTCTGGGATGTGAGGTTTTTCATGTTCCTCCTGCTTCTCATCTATCAAGTTATCTTCAATGTCAGCATCCTCTGATATACCTGCATCAGCCGAGTATTCCTCATCGACCTCCAGGTGATACTCATCTTCCAAAATGGGTTCAGATTTCCTTTCTTCTTCTGATTCCTCCAGCTGTGGAAATGGTGACCTTGGAATGTCATCAAGAACTTCATCAGTCTCCTCTTCAACTGATGGCTTCTCCTTAGCAACTTCCTGATCAACATCATATCTAAACACAGCCTCACTTTCAATGTGTTTCTGGGTTTCCATGACTACCTCCTCAGTGACAGGTTCAGTTGCCTTTTCCCCTTCCTCAACTTCTTCTTCTTTGGGCTCCTCTAAAATTTCCTCCACAACGTCTTCTGCAGGTTCTTCAGCCAGTACCTCTGCCTCTTCAACACCCATAGCTATTTCTTCTAGTTCCTCCTCTTCTTCCTTTTCTAGGGGCTCCATTTCCCTTTCTTGTTCTGTCTCCTGTTCTTCATCCTCCATGGTCTCTAGCCTGACGTCTTCCTGGTATTGCACGGAAGGTTGCTCTGATTCTTGCTCCTTTGCTTCAATGTGCTCAACTAGTCGATGAACAGAAACACTCTCCTCAACTACTCTGATTTCCCTAGCAATGCCCACTTCAGCTTCAGCGACAGCCTCAGGGGTCAGCTCTGGTTCTTGTTGGTCCTCAATCTGCTCTTCCAGGGAATCTGGAATGTCTTCTTGACCCTCCGCCAATGCAGTGTCTTGTTCGTATTCCACTTTCACAACTTCTTGATCTTGCACGTCCTCTAGAACTTCCTCCTGATCTGATTCTTTTCCCATGATCTCAACAGGTTCTTCCGGAAGGAAATGCTGTTCGCGCTCTCCATGAACCTCCGATACAGTGGTCTGAACAATAGTTTGTTGCACAAAAGTACGCTTTTCTGTGTGGATAGTTTCATGGGTGCTGAACAACACTTGTTTTGGTTCCATAGGTTCTTTTCTTGCAAGTTCAACATGTTCCAGCTTTTGAGGTTCCCCAACATCTCTCTCTGGATATTCTTCCACTGCCGGTGCAGCCTCTTCCTCAATTCTTCCCTCTTCTACCACCAATTCTTCATGAAGTTCTGGTCCAGGTCCCTCGCTGAGTCTCTCTTGTGCAATTTCCTCTTCTTGGGGAACAACATCTGGTACAATCTCTTCAGGGGCAACATCTTCCTCACTTCTTTCTTCCTCAACCTCTTTTTGAGGTTCCTGCTCAGGCTCCCCTAAGGTTTCTTTAGATGACAGTTTTTCTTCAAGTAAACATTCTGGGGTAACCTCTACTTCTGGTGCAGCTTCTTCCTCAACTCTTTCCTCTTTCAAAATGAACTCTTCTTCTGGTTCTTGTTCTGCTTCTTCATATTCTGCCTCTGGCACTGGTTCTTCCTCAATTCTTTCTTCTTCCGCAACTGCCTCTTCTTCAGGTTCTTGCTCAGGTTCCTCAGGCGGTTTCTCTGGTGCCATGTCCTTTTCAAGCAGAATTTCTGGGGCAACTTCTACTTCTGGTGCAGCTTCTTCCTCAACTATTTCTTCTTGCACAATTACCTTCTCTTCTGGTTCTTCATAAGCTTTTTCTGGCACAGGCTCTTCCTCAATTCTTTCCTCCTCCACAAGTGCCTCTTCTTCAGGTTCCTCAGAGGGTTTCTCTTTTACAACTTCTTCTTCATGAGGAAAAACAGCTGGGACAACTTCCACTGCAGCTTCTTCCTCAATTCTTTCCTCTTCCACAACTGCCTCTTCTTCAGGCACTTGGTCAGGTTCCTCGTAAGATTCATCAGGTGCAACTTCTTCTTCTTTGGGAGGAACTTCTGGAACAACTTCTTCCTCGATTCTTACATCTTCCATAACTACTTCCTGTTGCTCTGGTTGTGACTCTTCAAAGGTTTCAAGTTGAACAATTTCCTCTTCCTTTTGGACATCTACTTTCTCAGGAGTTACAACTTCTTCAGTTGGTTCCCCTTCAGTAGCTCTGGCCTCCTCGTGAATACCGTAGACAACAGATGACTGTACGATGGTTTGCTGGACACTAATGTGCGTTTCTGTATGAACCTTCATTTTCTCTTCTTCAGGTTCTTGCTCAGGTTCCTCAGAGGGCTTCTCTGGTGCAACTTCCTCTTCATGGGGAAGGACATCTGGGGCAACTTCTACTTCAGGTGCTGCTTCCTCCTCAATTCTTTCCTCTTCCCCATTAACCTCTTCTTCTGGTTCTTGTTCTGATTCTTCAAATACTTCCTCTGGAGCAGGCTCTTCCTCAGTTACTTCCTCTTCCTCAACTGCCTGTTTAGGTTGTTGCTCAGGTTCCTGAGTAACTTTCTCTGGTACAACTTCCTCTTTATAGATAACATCTGGAGCAACTTCTGGTGC